TCATTCTCATTAATAATAATATTATTATCATTTTCTTTTTCTCAATTTGGTCTTCAAGGCTTTGAATAATATAATTATTTTGAGTTATCTTCTCTATATCTTTCCGTCTTTCTTCATTAATTTTATTTTTTTCCTAACTTCTCTCAATCTACCTTTACTACTTTCATCATTTTTTAATTCATCAAAAAAACTTATATCCTCTTGTTCATTTAATGTTTCTTTTTTATTTACAGGTGGTTTACAAGATTTTTTATTCTTTTTCTTTTGAGCTTCTTTTGATTGTTTTTGTGTTGAAGCTTCTTCACTATTTTTTGTATGAACATATTCTTCGTAACTTACACTATCATAAAATTCTCTTGGAATATTTCTTTTTATTATTAGTCGTTCAAAAACATCACCTTCAAATTGAATGTTTTCCTAAATTGTATCAGTGCTTTGTCTCTACTGAATAAAGTGATAATAATCAAACAGTCCTAAGTATGAGTTCATTTATACGTTTCATTGTTTCATTTTTTAGTTTTGTTTTTGAAGTTTTTAATATAAATGTTATTTATAACATTTAACACTATTATTTATGTTTTATATATCGGAAAAAAATGAAAAACAAACTGAAGGTAAAAACTTGAATTGTTGATGAATGGAAAAAATATTTAGAACTAAAAAAAACTTAAAATAGAAGAGATCTTTAAAGAAAGAAATGAATTACGACAACATACAAAGCGTTATTAATATAGAAGGATTCCATTTAGATTTAGGAAATGATCATCATAGATCTTTTCAAGATATTTTAGTTCATATTTGTGAATACGGAACAATATCTCTACGTACATTAAATATAATTGAAAACCATTCAAAAAAGATGGAACCAGAGAAACAAAAACAGTTAATTGAGTTAATCACAGAAGAAGTAAAATGTTTATGTGATCCAATTATTAAGTTATATGCTATTGTTGAAGGGGAATGTAGTAGTTTGGTCCATGAAAAAATAAAAGATATGGTACGAAATCCATTGGAACAATTAAAAGACATTACACAAAATTTCTCAAATAAAATGAATTTAATGTCATATAGTAATGTGTGTGATAGTATAAAAGAGGTTTTAATACAAACGTTTAAAATTATGAGAATTATTTTATTAGATGCTTCAGAAACACTTTGTGATAATTGTGATTGTATTGCAAGAAATATTAATAAAGTTCTTGAGTCAAATCAAGAAAAGTTTATTAAAGGAAGTAAATTTATAGCAGCTCAAATTGTTAATGGAATTGGTTTAGTAATGAGAGAACGTGGTGGTCAACCTTGTAATGATGCTGCAGATTGTATTGATCAAATTGCAGTTCAATTATGTATTGAACCATCTGAGTTAATACTTAATCAATGTAAAGAAATATTAGAACGTTCAAAAGAAATATTTAGACAAACAGTTAAACCAGTTACTATTGAAATTAATACTTCTGTAATAGAAAAACAACAAGGAGTTTCATTTGTTATGCCAAAATTTCATGATATTACTATCGCTCAAATAGTAGAGGGAATCAAAAATGAAGAACAAGCTAAAGAAGAATATGTCACTGGTTATTTTTTAGAAAGTGCTACTTGTTTAACCAAAGCACTTAATGGTATGGAAGGGGTATCAGAAATAAAACCAAATTCAATTAACATTAATGATTTATTTGATGAAGTTAAAAAAAGAATGGACTCTCTTAATAGCAAAGTTAATAACAATTCTTATATTTCCAATAATCCACATAACTCAATTTCATTAGAACAAGTTGATTCTTTATGTGATCGATTATTAGTAAATTAATTTTTCATTTCTTAATTATTGTTATTTAATGTGAAAGAATTTAGAATAATTGATTATTCATTAGAATCTCAAATAAATATAAAAAAAACATTATTTTATTATAATAATAATTGTGTTTTTTAATTTATTTTTTAAACATTTTTTTTAATATTTCAATTATTTATTTTTAACTATATTTTATTAATAAAAAAACAATAATAAACTATAAATAAAATTGTTGAAGGTGAAGAAAAGAAAAAAAACTAAAAAATACAACAACTTAACAAACCAAAACAGTCTGAATTGAAATGAGTACTACAACTGCACCTAAACAACACCAAAAAGGTGAAATGAAAGAAGGAAAAGAAGGAGAAAAAAATATTAGACAAACTAATATCATTGCTGCTAAAAGTGTGGCTGATGCAGTTCGTACATCACTTGGACCAAGAGGAATGGATAAAATGATTATTTCACCTAATGGAGAAACAATCATTACCAATGATGGAGCAACTATTATTCAACAATTAAAACTTCAACATCCATGTGCATTGATGATGTCAGAATTATCTAAATCACAAGATATTGAAGCAGGTGATGGAACAACTACTGTAACTATTCTAGCTGGGGCTATGTTATCTGCAGCAAATATCCTTTTAAATAAAGGAGTTAATCCATCAGTAATTGCTCGTGCATTCCATTTAGCATCAGCCAAATCAGCAGAGATATTAAAAGAAGCATCAATTCCAATTGAATTAACAGATCGAGAGAGTTTATTAAAAGCAGCGAATACATCACTTAATTCTAAAGTTGTAAATCAATCAAGTCAAATATTTGCACCAATTGCTGTTGATTCAGTAATGAAAGTTATTGATATTAACACAGCAAGAAATGTTGATTTAAGAAATGTTAGAATAACAAAAAAGATAGGAGGAACAATCGATGATACAGAACTTATTGATGGACTTGTATTCCTTCAAAAAGCATCACATGTTTCAGGAGGACCAACTCATGTTGAAAAAGCTAAAATTGGAGTATGTCAATTTTGTATTTCACCACCAAAAACTAATATGGATGGAAATGTAGTAATTACAGACTATGCACAAATGGATAAAGTTTTAAAGGAAGAACGAGCATATACATTAAAACTTTGTCGTGCTATTCAAAAAAGTGGATGCAATGTATTGTTAATACAAAAGTCTATTTTACGTGAAGGAGTTAGTGATTTAGCACTTCATTTTCTTGCTAAATTAAAAATTATGGTAGTTAAAGATATTGAAAGAGATGACATTGAATTTATTTGTAAAACAATTAATGCAGTTCCAATTGCTAGTATTGAAGGATTTACTGAAGATAAATTAGGATATGCTGAAAATGTAGAAGAAGTTAGCATTGAAGATGAAGATAAAATAGTTAAAATTACAGGTGTTAAAGGAACTGCGCCATGTGTTTCAGTTCTTGTTAGAGGAGCAAATAGATTAGTTCTTGATGAAGCAGAAAGATCATTACATGATGCATTGTGTGTTGTTAGATCATTAGTAAAATGCAAATATTTATGTCCAGGAGGTGGAGCCATGGAAATGGAATTATGTTGTAAATTAAAACAATGGGCAGAAACATTA